CACTCTACATGGATTGTCCTTGAAAACCACCAAGAAACTTCAAGAGGTCCAGGTATGAGAGACATGTAGCTTGTATAATTAACATCTCTGCTCCAAGACCTGCATTGGTATCAGTTTATTTCAAGCTCCTGGTTACCAACTTTAAAGACCTTCCATGTTTCCAGGGTCAGGATATCTGTGGGATCACCTTCCGTGTGTGGCATTTGCTGTCATTTGAGATCTGGAAGAATAGGTTCCCTATAGATTCTGACTCTTTTTAGAAATGCCATCTGCAAGGATCCCATAGTTAAGCCTCAAGAGTTACTGCACCAATTCTCAGGAACAGATTTTTCCAATATCAGACATGCCCTACTCCTATTAACTTTCTGTAATGCAACAAACACCTGGTTGCTTCAGAATGACTTCAACGTTTGAAAAGATGTTTTTCTTTTTAGAAACTGAAGGGATATGAGTTATGGCTGTTCCTCGATATTTGAGTATTCTGTGTAAATACTCAGTATTTGAGTATTCTATATTGTTACATCTTTGTTGTTGTTGTTTAATTTTTAACCTTTTCTTAAATTGAAGGTTACCCACCCAGGTGGCTTTGTACCTAAAGAAGGACTAGAACTCTCTGTCTCTTGGTTTCTAGCCTGGTACCCTAACCACTAAACCACTGGTTCGCTATACTATTATGTGCAGGATGAAAAAAATATTTTAAACTAAAATATTTTTTAGTTTCAACTAAAAGAGCTTTCCGATTTTAGAAAAATTGCTAATTATTAGCATACTGCTAATAGTAGTAGTAGCAAGAGCCTTCACAGTTTTGTTACGCTATATCTTTATTACATCATTAAAACTGTGTTGGCAACAGGGGTCTAGTCTACATTTAAAAATTGCCAGTCCAGAGAAAAACATAATCCTTGCATAATTCTGTACCACAATTATTATTAATACAAAATATTTCTTCACGTGCTTTGCTGGTACCTTCATTTTTGAACTATGATTTTTTTTAAAAAAACATATGACTTTGCCTACACCTTTTTGAATTTATTTATTTTTTCTCCCTTCCCTTTTCCAAAAGTACAATTAAAATACATGGAATAAAAAACAATACTGTTCTTCACACTATCTATAAAAAAAGAATGAGGAACTTGATGTCAGGATGTGGTTGAATCCAAAGATTTAGTAAGACTCAGGGAGGAAGTATTGACTTGAATTGCTGACAGCACATTCAACTGTAATGATTAATACGAAGACATTTTGGGAAGCCATAAATTTTGGTGCCCTTATATATTCAACATCAAACAAATAAAAGAAATAAATCTTACTTCATGCATTTCCCTCTTAATTATCAGGAGGCAAGGCATTATGCAAAAATAAAATACACACAAAAGCTAGTATGATTTGTGGAAAGAACATAAAGATGAGGGTTTCCAGTCATTCTCTCTTCTTAATCCAATGCAAAAAAAAAGCATACTGGGACTCATGTTTCATCCTTGACCTTGAAATCAAAGAAGTATAATGTGGAATTATTCAGGAGTTATTCAAGAGTTATTCTGGTTGTCATCTCTTGTCTCAGTTAATTGTAAAGCCAAGATAATTGACACTGACTGGTCTAAGACCTAACGTGTAAGAGAACATGTTACAGAACTTAGTGACATACTCTATTACACATTATTTACTCTTTCTCTCACAGATTTTACAACTGCTGTTGCATGTTTTTCACTATTTGGCACAATCCAACTGCAACAATTTTGTCTACAGTACTGCACCATAATTATATCATTACTAACTGTACCTTAATTCTAAGGCTTGATTAATAGAGTATGGGGAGTGGAATTTAAAAGGCTGGAATCTTTTCTGTCACTATAAAGACCCATAGATTAAAGTTGATGTTCTATTGTGGATTGTTCCGTTCTGTATTGCATATGATTATAGTATAATACCGGTATAAACCAATGTATACAGAATAAAAATAATGGAATTATGCCTTTCTGTTTTTATATGGATAAAATAAAATAAACAACATGACTTAGTTGAAATGATGGTTTTGGGCATAAGGGGGGAACCAAAGACTAAAAATTATAGAGATGTGCAAAGATCCAGATTCAAAAGGCAAAATGTAACTCAGAATGTACCTGGTCACACATGTATTTAAAGTGGCTGTATCTTTCCCTGGGCTCATGTACATGCCCTCTGCTGGTGGCACACAATTCCAAGAAAAAAATCTTTTGGGTTTATAATGTTCTCAACACATTCACTGATGCTCCAAATCATGCTTTGCCTTTTGAATATATATAGAAAACAGTGTAATTACACAATAGTAATTATAGTGATTTTTAAGAGTCCCAAGGTGAAATGTTGCGATCTTGATATTAATTGAATTTGCTTTTCTTCTTGTAGACTTATCATTACCAAACATCATTAAAACATCATCAAAGTACTGTCAATGTTAGCTAGATTGGCAAGCAAATATCTGCAAGAAAAACATGCAGCTCAATGAACCCTGCCATATCCTTGAGTCTTCAAAGCACTTCATTCATGTTATATGGTCTTTCCAGAACAATATTTATTGGTCCAGTATTGACTCTTGAGAGTATAAGAAATACTACTAAGATACATTACAGATAGGTAGCTGCATATGATTTATAGTTATCAGCTATGCTAATAAGAGAGGTAAAATTCAACACTATTACTTCCTGATTCACAGCACATTCTAGACTAGGAGTATAGTACTACTATATACTTTATAAGTTGATTTATACCACACTTAAGAAGCACAAAAACATTTAATAATGTATATACTTGACCTTTATAGAAAAATAACATGGATTTCTTCAAAATTTCTTGCAGATTATCACATTTAACCCCGAGCTGCTCAAACTACTTCTTGAACATTTTAAAGTAAAAAAAAAACCACTTTTTTTTAAAAAAAAAGTTGCAATGTAGCTGAGAATAATACAGTCAAACCTCAGTGGGAATGAAGCAAGAGACTCACCCATATAAATATAAAAAACATCTTAATGTTTAAATACAGAGTAGTTTACAGGGTAGCTTCCCAAGGGAAGTGGTGAAAGCCACATCACCAGAGACTTTTCCAGCTGGAAGTCTATTCCTAAAGACTGATAGGAGTGAAAAACCACCGCTGAGTGAACTATACAGTCTGTTCCCAGTGAAGGTTTGAAAACACAAACATGAGTACAGTAAGCAGATAGTTGTGCTTTGTATGCATTCTAATCCACTATTTTTCAGCACATGCAAATTATATTCTGCAATACTGTAGTCTTCCACTATAAAGCTTTACTGGGTGCAACATATCCTGGGGAATATGGGGGAAGAGAAGGGGAAGTAGGAAAGAAAAGGAGAGGAAGAACGAAGGAAGTAGAAGGAGAAACAGGAAGGAAGAGAAGGAGGAGAAGAAGAGTAAAGGTAAAGGGTAAAAGAGCTGCCCCGAAAAAGTAAAAATGAAAAATGAAAGTTAAAAGAAAAAGATGAATGAAAAATTATGGAAATGACTGTACATGTAAATGTGTTTATAAAAAATAAAAATAAAAACTTTTTATAAAAAAAAAAGATGGCTAGGAATGGCTTGTTTTTCAAAACTTACTGAAGTAAAAACACTAGCATGAGGTTTTAACATGAGAGTTGAAGGAAATTGGAAACCTTAAAAAGAATGATTCCTTTTTAAAAAATTCTCTGAAGCTTATTATGCTACTCTTTGCAAAATATATGTTCCTGCTGAAGAGGGCTTTTGATTTGCTGGAATAAATCTGTACTTATTTTGTTCATTTCAGTTCCAATCCTTTATTCCTCCCCCCGCCCCATTGGTTTATACTATTCGTGTCTCCATGTGAGTTACAGCACATGGGGTGTACCTGAAGAAGGAGGAAGTCCAGCCAGAAGAAATGATTTCTTCCCTCCCCTCCACTTCTAATTCACTCGTCTATCGTTACAATGACTGGACAAAAGTCCAATTTGAGCATTCAAATTAATTCCATTAAACTTAGTGGCCTGATTCACATACTTTGCTGAACTACAGTTTCTTAAATAATCCATAATCAATTGCTTTCATGTGCACAACATGCTCAACCATAAATGATGGATGGCAAACCATTATGGCAAGGTTTGCACAACACATGAGGCTGAAACGAACAAGCCAAAATTACAGTTTAGTACAGTATGTGCAACTATCCAGTAGAGCTCGTTTCACAAAATATTCGTATAGGTTATCAGCACTAATACGATCCAACAGTGAACCAACTGCAGATGAAGTTATTTGAGATCAGTCGGAATCAATCGGAAAAGTTAATAATTGCTATTTTCAGCCCCCATTAATGCCAGTAGGAATTAAATGCAATTAATTCTCCACTTCAACCCTACCTATGAGGATCTATGCAAAAGACAAGACAGGCATTCCAAGTGAATGTCTATGGAGATTCTCAATCCCCCAGGTCATGGTTGACCACAAGGTGCTTTTTCAGGAGGCAACTGGACTTTCTGGTTTTTCTTTGAAGACGTTTCACTTCTCATCCAGAGCTGAACAAACTCCTGGGATGAGAAGTGAAACGTCTTCAATGAAAAAAACCAGAAAGTCCAGTTGCCACTTGAAAAAGCACCTTTGGGATTCCAAGTGAATGCAGAAATGCAACTGAACCGTTTTGTCAGCTGTTAACCCCACCATATACAGGTACAGCCCATCCTCGTTGCCCATGTAAAGGACACCCTCTCCCCCAAATCTGCTGTGACCATGGTGGTGGGGAGGGGGCGGTTGTTCCCAGAAGGGACAAAACATATACGGACGCTAGGAGTCTAAAACGACCCGACGTCACATAATGGATCTTTAATCAATGTAAAGAAAGCCCCCACGCTCCCAATTACAAGCGCACCGAGACTTCAGAAAGTGAAGTGGGGTTTCGAAACGGACGGCCACCGAATAAAATCAACCCCGCGGGAAGCTCGATCGAGGAGGTGCAAGGAAGACAAGCAATTCCTCCCCCCGCATCTCCGCGCAGCCTTACCTGCACGTCAGGTACGACAATGGCGAGCAGAAGCGCTAGCCAGCAGCTCCGCGGAACTGCCATAGTCGGTGGAATCACCGAGGCTGGAGCCGAAAAGAAATTCCCGCCCGAGCCCAGGCACCGAGTTCTTCCCTGGCTCGAGTGCCAGTCCCGAGTGAAGAGCAGAAGCGGGGAGGGAAAGCCCGCCTCCTCGGCTTTCGGCGGCCCACGCGGGCTTCCTGAGGGCTGCAGTGGCAGAGCTCGGGTGGGAGGGCGGAGGGCGGGGTTTTCCCCGTCAAGTGCCTTATAGATCAGGGGTCTCCAACCTTGGCAACTTTAAGCCTGGAGGACTTCAACTCCCAGAATTCCCCAGCCAGCTTTGCTGGCTGGGGAATTCTGGGAGTTGAAGTCCTCCAGGCTTAAAGTTGCCAAGGTTGGAGACCCCTGCTATAGATGGATTTACTGCTCTGCCTCGTGAGCGGGAATACTTTGCTTCGCTAGCTGCTAGTTCCGACTGAGCTTTCCCTTCTTTCAAAATAAAAGAAAGGATACAAGGGAGTCCCCTACCGACGAGCATGATTGAGCCCGAATGTTTGTGTCGCTAAATGAGGCATTCGTTAAATGAGACTTTGCCCCATTTGACAACCTTTCTTGCCACAGGTGTGTTAAATGAAGCGCTGCAGGGCAGTGATGAAATCCAAATTTTTTTACTACCGGTTCTGTAGGCGAGGCAGGGGAAGGATACTGCAAAATCCCCATTCCCACCCCACTCTGGGGCCAGCCAGAGGTGGTATTTGCCAATTCTCCGAACTACTCAAAATTTCCGCTACCGGTTCTCTGAACTGCTCAAAATTTCCGCTACCGATTCTTCAGAACCTGCTGGATTTCACCCCTGCTGCAGGGGTGTTAAGTTAGTAACATAAGTTGTTAAATAAAGCTGACTTTCCCATTGACTTTGCTTGTTGGAAGGTCACAAAAGGGGATCCCGTAACCCCGGGGTCTTCTTAAATAGGAGCCAGTTGCTAAATGTTTGAATTTTGATCACATGACCATTGATGCTGCAATGGTCGTAAGTATGGAAAATGGTATCAGTCACTTTTTTTTCAGCGCTGTTGTAACTTCAAACTAACTAAACAAACTGTTGTAAGTTGAGGAGTACCTGTATGGCCACCATACATTCTGCAATTCCATTACTGCCCTTTGCCTTCCACTATTTTCCTTTCTGCCCTCCAATTCAGGACTGCCTCTGCCAATAAAATGGTAGATGCCAGCCTATTGTTAAGGGGTGACATTTATCTTTTGTTGATGAAGTCGACTAGTTGATGTTCTTTCTCAAACACAACAACAATTAAATGGTTTCTAGTAGTAAGTTGTCTCTGCATTATCTCCTGACCTGTTATACGAAGTAATTTTCTTTATTATTTCGGACCTTTGAAATATTTTTGTTGCTTTCCAGTTAGGGAAGGGTAAATGTTGCTTTTTTATGAGCACTAGTGGTAAAGAAGAGGAAAGATAGTAATCTGAAATGTACTGTACGAAGGCATTAATGCCCTTTATTAGATAACTAAGAATCACAAATTATTTAAGGCAACTGTTGACTATATCCATGAGTGAGAGGATGAAGGTTCTGAGAGGGAGAATTTGCAGCTCATGTTGCAGTATTTTTTTCCACATGAAGACTTTTATTAATTAGTCTATATTCAGTGGATTATTAATGTTTCAAGCATATTCCATTTAGGTTGATAGCTATGCATGCACACACACAGAATATACATATTCAATTATTACAAATTGTTTAGGTTAGATGCTTCTTTTACAAGGCATATTAATTTATTTGGTACTTTGGATAGAGTATGAGCATTTTCTGACTCAGGCGACATCTGTTCTTCCAATGCAGTTCCCAGAATTGTAGTTTAGATAATGTTAATGTCTTCCTCTTTTTACATACTCATATGATTCTGCAATTTAAACATATTAGTTGCTCAACCTTGATCCAGTCTGCTCATTTTGAACTAGAGATGTATACTCTTAATTTTTTTAAAATTACTGGCTCTGGACATTTTAATATTTTTCCATGTCTAATTTCAATATTCTAAAGAAGTATCCATAACCTTTGTACATTTTGCTTTACAATTAATTGTAATTAATTAAATTGTAATTGCAAATTGCCAATGAAAATCTTGGAGCTTTCTTAGTTTTGATCACAGAATCCATGCATGGAGTATGGTCACCTGTTGGAGTAAATCTATATCAAGAGGCTTTGGTCAGAGGTGGAATGAGGCCTGATTGAGATCAAGTTTTTGTAGTGTTTGCCCCAACAAATGTTCATACATGAGGACAGTGGGACAGGAATACTATGTAATCTTGGAGGTAGGCTAGTGTTATGGGTCAACTGCCTTAACATAGACTTCTGTGCCATGATTAATATGAATGGCCTCTGTTTTATCTTCTCCATATCAATAATGATTATATATTATTAATTGTACAATTATAAGTGTGCCTCTCAATATTCCCACAGAGAGTAGTATGATAGACATGATATTGTTCAGGAAGTAACCTTGAGCAGAACTTAGATACCATTGAGGTACCATATGTAAAATATCTTAAGTATAAACTTGGCATTATAACAAACACTTGTTGGAAGAAATGTCCATCTGGGTTCAGTTCCAAGTGGGGAGAAAGACCCTGGAAACATGGAGACTGCTTGGAAAGATGGTTTAATGGTGGATAGGACCACATGGGTTTTTTGGGTCCTGGGCAAAATGCACACATGGGTGAGAACAAGAGAGAGATTTATACCCTCTGTTGGGCTTTGAACTTGCTTCCTGTTCCTGTGGCAAGAAATGTATCCTGATTGGTTGTCAGACTCCCATGCTTGGTTGAATCTTCCTGGGTGATGTAATCTTCCCAGGTACCATGTGGTGAGATGGGTAGAGGGCTAATCCTATTATGTCGTGAGGGTGAAGGTCTTTTATGTTGTAGATTAGCTCACACAACCTTTTGTTTTGTAAATAACAAAATTATCTGCTGGGGGCAGGGAGCTGGGGCTGAGTTTCTGTCTTAAGATTTCTATTTCTCTTTTAGGGGAAATATTCTGCCTTTTTAATATTTCCTAGAATACTTCATTTTTCTAGGAGAGGGATGGGTGCTAACTTCCTACACACTAATACCTTGATTTAAAAATAAAAATAAATTCTGACCAACAGAAGCCATTTAGTTCCAAAAAATGTTGAATTCTAAGATCTGACTACAACTTACATCATTTTGTTATTTTGTCCAATTGATTCTGATTTTCATAATACTTTTTGCTTTTCTTAAAGCAATGCACTTTTTTATTCAACAGCTTTACAGTATTAAATATAGCTTTTTCTGAGATATATGTGAAAATTATTCAAATCACTAAGGACTAAACAATATAATATGCAGAATAAAGCACCATTAATCTTGCATTTATTATTAAGCATATTATTTGGAAACAGCATTCTGTGGCTAAACTATATTCTATATCCTGTAAACTTCTGGAGAAATGTGACATAACAGTTGTTCATTTTAATAGTTGTCGTAGGAAAAAGTATGTTTTACTGCCTTTTGCAGTTAGGTTTTTCTTCACTCATCAGTTTTTCAAATTGTGGGAAACAGAAGGAAGTTATTTGAAAGCTTCAATTTACCATTTGATCATTCTTCCTATTTTTAGAGAAATCATAGCTACTGTTTTAAAATATTACCAAGTGCCTGTGACTATAAAATATGGGTGGCAAAGACCCTTGACATTTGAACTGTGGTTCCTTTTCCCAACTTTCAAGTATATTATTAGTATTATAAAATTAAATTGTATAATTATTACGGAAGTATTTTTGTTATAGATGTATTTTAACTTGTATTTTTGGATTTTAAATGTTAATAAAGGCTTATAAAAAAATTAAATGTAAACTATCTTGCCTGCAAAATACTTTACTTGCTGAGCTTGTAAATATTAATGTAATTTTTCAGAGGCAAAATTATGTGAGAGTATTTTAAACAATTTTAAGAAAATATTTGTATAAAAACAATACTGGCATGCTGAAAAAATATTTTACCTCACGTACAGTGTTACATGGTCAAATTGGTGTTAACTCAACAACCATATAGATAGATTTTCTCCAGGGGGATCTATCTTGAACTATCTTGGTCCTTCAGGTCTTCTATATAGGGTATCCATTGAGTTCATCCACCTTGCAGGTCATCTTTTTTCTTCTCTTTCCTTCCACTTTCCTCAGCATTGCACACTTTTCCAAAGTATAGATTTGCTTAATATGTGTAAAATATGATAATTTGATCCTGGTCATTGTGCCTCAAGTGAGGAAACTCTGAGTTGATGTTGTAGGAAGTTAGCACCCACCCCTTTCCTAGAGGAATGAAATATTTTGGGAAATATTAAAAAGGCAGAATATTATGTTTCCCTGAATGAGAAATGGAGAAGCATGCTTTAAAGCAGCTCCCACCTTCTTGCCCCCCCCCCACCCTTTGTTAATGGGCCAGAGGCAGAAACTCAATCTTTGTCAATGGACCATCACAACACAATAGGATCCATCTGCAACACAATAGGGACAGAAACTCACCACATGGCACCTGGGAAGATTACATCAGCCAGCAAGGCTAGCTAAGACCCCCACCCCCTGGTAGTCTGACAACCAATCAGGATACTCTTTCTGGGCCCCAGGAAGCCAGAGAGGGCATAAAACCCGGGGACTCACTGCATCTCACCCCTTTTCTGTTCAGGAACTCAAACCATGTGATCCTGTCCACCATTAAACCATCTTTCCAAGCAGTCTCCATGTTTCCAGTGTCTTTTTCCTCACTTGGAGCAGAGCCCAGAAGGATATTTCTTCCAACAATGTGTTCTATGATTCATTTCTTTATTTTCTTGGTTATCCATAATATACTCAGATGAGTCCTCCAACACCTACTATAAGTTCAAATGTGTTTAATATTTTCCTTGTTTCTTTAAAGTCCTTTTTTTTCTGTAGTGTTACAAGGAAAAGTATTGCCTGCATAGTAATGACCTCCAAGGTCCATTCCAATTCTGTAATTCTATGTTATATTATCCGATTGTTCTAAGTATATACCTAACCAGGCAAATTCTATTAAGTGCTAGTCTGCATTATATTTCTTGAACACAGTTTTCTCTTAATAGTTGATCCTAAAATGCTATTTATCACTTCAGTGTCTTCATTTTCAAGTCTAAGGCTGGTTGCTATAATATTTTATTTGTTAAATTTATTTGCCACCTATCTTACCATGGGGCTACTCTGGGCAGCTTACAACAATAAAAAGAAATGAATAAAGTATAAACAGAAGTAAAATAATAGAATAAAATAAACAATGAAAAGAACACGATAATACATCGACATGATAACAAAAAGATGGATGGGTGGAGAGCAGGAAGCCAGGAGCAAAAGGTGGGGGTGGAATCTGTCATCAATCCAGGAGTCACCTGTAGCATGGAATTCCCCCATCTGGTCTCCATGGCAACTGGCAGAATCAGGTCTTTAGACACTTGCTGAAGGACAGGAGGGAGGGGAAGAGCTTACCTTATATTAGAAATTACCTTATATTAGTTGCCATTTGTTTGGTCTTTGTATTTAATCTTGGATTAACTTCTCACTCTGCTCCTTACTAAAGCTTGCAAATCCTTTACATTTTTCAGCTGTCAAGGTAGTGTCATCAGCATGTAATGCAGATTATTGATGTTTCTTCCTTCAGTTTGAAAACTGCACTCAAATTCTTCCAATCCAGCTTCCCTTAATATATACAACATTTTCCAGATATGTTGAATAAATTATTTTCCAGCCTTGTCTCACTCATTTGCCAATCTGGAGACAGTTACGCCACCATATTCTGTTTATTCTGTAGGCTTCCTGAACTGTGTATACCTTTTACCATTGCTAGCTGCATACCGCAGTACTTAAATAAACCCTCTCATCTATTTTAAAAATGCAAAATATTAATTTCTCCTCCAACTGCAGATAACTCATCTGTGAAATGAAATGTTGAGTGCTCCTTAAATATTTTTGCAATCTACTTTTGAATATCTGGTGTAAAAATGGCTTGATATTACATAACAGACACCATAACACTTAGAACACATATATTGTAACTTTAATTTGAACAGAAACGCTTAGGTATTAAACATTAACTAGAATAAATGTTTGCTCAGACTTTCCTCAATAGTCACACAGAACTTCAATAATTACGGTATGACTTTTGGCAGAAAAAAAATCACTTTGACATCCAGAAAGAAAATGCTATCCTAGGTAGAATATACCCTGCTTGAAAGACAGAGTTTCAATTTTATGCAGTACTGTTTACAAAGCCATATTTCAATCTTCTACCTACAGAATGAACTAGCAGATGTTACTGAGTTATAAAGCCCTTGTCATGGTTATGGAAACTGCAGCTGCCTCACCTCACCTCTAACATGTCTGAACAGTCTTTGTTTTCTTCTGTCTCTCATGTTGTTGCTGTGTGTGTCAGATGAAGTTGACTTAAGTTGGAGCTGCATTAAACTGTTCTTAGCTGTAAAAATGTTTTCCCCTTATCTCAACACCAGATTTGCTATGGATACAAGCAACACAGTCCACCATTTTGTCAATGGTAGTAAAATTACCTCTGGGGAGCAAAGCATGGATATGCTGGCACCCATTGACTTCATTAGGTTGGTGCAACGTTCGTTTTGCCTGATCTCTAGGCATGATATTCCAGGGCAGTCCTGCTTTGGTTATGGAAGGGAGCCAGTTCTTTCAAACTTAACCGTCGTGTGCCTACTTATCTCTGCACCAATATAGTGCTTAAGAGATCAACCTCTCTTTATCCTGCTTCACAGTACAACTTTCTATGTCTTCAGCTGATAAAATAATTAGGTGCTCCATCTACGCAGAACACTTGTGCAAAACCAGAGTTTTGACTGATGTCTAAGCCCACTTTAGCTACATGTCAAAACTTGCTTCCACACTAGCCCTACCTCTAGCCCATGTTGAAAAGAGGATTGATGTTTTCTCACCAGCTGGTTACTGTTTGGTGGGAGGGAGGAAAAGTAAATAAACCTAGAGGCATCCAGCAATGTCTATGAATGTGCCTTTTGCATCACAGAGACAGCATTATTTGCCAGTATGATCCCTGTGGTAGGGCAAGGAAGTATCAGTAGGGAAGCCATATTTATGCTGGAATAGTTTTCTCCTGGATCATGGAATGGTGGACAATACTTGAACTTGGTTTGGGGAAGAGCCTGTATAAGTTTATTTCTTTTCCATATACATAATTGACTTGACCTCTCCCCAAAGATCACTCGTGAAACTCCAAAAAACTACTTTCCATCTTTCCAATAATATGTCACAAAACTATGTGCCAGTGAGGGATTGGTATAAAATAAACTTCAACTATTTTAGATTTATCAAATGTATAGACTAATATGGCTCTTCAGTGCCTATTATGAAACTGCTAGTGATTTGGAACATGTTATCAGTATGTTAATGAAAATCAACTTTTCTCTCTCCTTCCCATTTTAATTAGGAGGGTTTATGCTGGATTGGATGAGGACTCACAAGCAAAATTTAAATCTAACTGAAGTGTGACCAGCTCATTTGAAACCTGCGATTAGGAAGATGATGTATTAAAGTACCATTCTGTGCTCTGTGCTTTGATTTTCCTGGCACCAGGTACAATCCTACCTGGGATCCCTCACCTTATTAATCTATGTCTTAGTATCCTTAGGATTTGATTCTATCCTGCATGGGATAGATGTAACTGATGCAGAACATATGTCAGATTTTTAAATGGGGTAGCTAAGTGGAATCATACACTGTAATGATTGATCTTCATAGTGCTGCAGTGGCTACTTGTAAAGGAGTAGGGCGAATTTCAGCTATTGATTTTAAACTAAAGCTCTAGATAACTTGCTACTAAAGGACTAAAAAAAATCTTGTTACTCTATATTCTCCAGTGATACTTGCTTGGCCAACAGTTAAGTAAAGTTGGCCTCTACATACTGCTTTTTCTTGGATCACAACTTATGAAACGTCCATGCATATTTAAAATAATAGCTGCTTCAGGATTCTAGGCAATATTAGCAAAAATCCTGCCGTATTTTGATGTACCTCTTAGATTGAAGTTGTTGCAGATAATATGCCTATCAAAAGTTCCAGAAAAGGTCACATATATTTGTCACTCTATGATATGCAAATATGTCATAACTGTGCTATTTTTTTAAAAAAAATGCAATAACATTACATTTATAGGCCATCCAACTCTTAGCAATCCATATTTAGGATTTTCCAGGTTGGAAATCCTGACATCTGAAGTATGTAAGAGATGTTTTCACTAATCGATTTGATGAACAGGCCAAAAAATTATATCCCTCATTTGGCACAGTATGGTTGTTACTTCAGTGCTATGAGTGAAAAGCTATAGTTAAATGCAATTAGGCAGTGGCTGCAAGGAGAAATTTCAGCAATCTTTATATTTTAAAAATATGTATTTATATAATGGACTGCATTATTTAGAAAAATGAAAAGGAATGTATTTGATAGAAGTAATAAAATACTGTGTTACATGAACATTAAATTCTCAAATATTAAATGTCAACACCCTCCAAACAAATGCCATATCACTTAGAATTCCTTAAATAAACATCCAAAACAGGTATGCAAAACATTTTATTTAATTCAAGAAAGAACAGGAGAGTTAGCCACTTTTACTTCTTCTGGAACGCCCCAGCATTTCATTATCAGATGGTCTACTAAGACAGCATTTGCAATACAGTTAGTACAACTGGTGAAAACCCATTCATCATTCATCATCGGATTTCAAAATGGGTACATTTGCACTTTTAATGCAAGACGGATTATTTTCCAAGTGCGTTGTCTCTTCCGATGTATATTGGGAATGTAAAAATACTCCAGATGCAATCCAACCTAGTACAGTGAAAAACTGATGACATATGCATATGCACTTCTTTTAGACAAGTTTTAATTAATATTTTTCTACTTCTCAGCACAGAAATCCTGAAGTATATAATAAGGCAAGCTTTCCCAACCTGCTACCTGTCACAGAATCTGGAATGCAACTTCTATCAGCTCTACCCAGAAATAGTTTTGGACACTGGTGGATGGAAGTGATGGGAATTTAATCTAGAAATGGGCTGAGGATATTTGTGATTAATTATTGAAGTGTGTTAATCACAATTTACTAAAAAAAAAAAAAAAGAGCAATAACAGAAAAGCTATTCCTTTCCATTGAAATAACAGTGGGATTGAGCTTGACCATATGTATAACAGATTTACTGATACTTATAGTAGGATTCTAGTATAAATGTTTCAGGTCTGTTTGTCTCTACCCGAGATTTAACACAAAAGTAACAATTTAATTAAAATAGGCACAGCATTAGGTAACGTCTTCCTTTTATTTTTGAAAATAATGTGTATGTGCATGCATATTTACAAAATAGGTAGTATGGAGAAAATGTAGAAAGGGTGAAAGCTATATTAGTAGAATTTGCATCTGGATATTTATAGTTATGAAACAATGGATGGGCTTAGATTAATTCACCATTGAAAAATGCTACAAGGATAGAAGATCATTGGTTGCAATTTTAAAAATATCAGGATGTTAAGAAGATATTATATGGCATTGCATTTAAAATTTAATAAATTATTGCTTTCAGTCACTTCTGTGCTACTTGGGGCACCGGATGACACATTTTCTTTCATCCTTGTCCTGCAAGATTTAAATCCCAAGTTAAACAAAATGCTAGCCAATCTCTTACTGCTGAAACCAGTCCTTTTGCCTAGTATCCTATAAATCGTTTACCTTATGTAGTGCCCAGAATGTTCTATGTCAATTATTTTTTTGGAGGGGTATTTAAGTAGATGTTACTTTAGCAAGGACACACTTCAAACACAGGATTGTTATATGCAGAAACATGATGTTGGCTTGAAGCATTTATGAAGAGCAGTATCACTTAAAAGTTTATTCTAAGAAGGCAATATTAGACTCATTCATATGAAAGAAATCTTCATTGAAATCAGTATGGCTTTCATCAAGGTACATATGATTAAGTTTGCACTATTTATTTCTCCTCCCCTTCCTGGTATAAATTGCCTTGCAGAAAGGTTAATACTAAGCTGCTTTATACACATTGAAAATGCCAATACATGTATGAGTGACAATTTTAAAAAATCTGTTGAATTCATCTGTTCTGGAATATATTGTAGTACTAGTAGTGCAAGGAATTCCGTGGTACATTATATCCTCCATTCACTTCTGTAATTCAAATATACAATAACTTACAAAAACAATCCAGGAATCAGTGCTGGTGGCTCTTACCTTTCATTTTAGAAACATTAAAAAAGCTCTGCATTACCCCTCTTATAACTTAAATACATAAGTAATCTCCACTTTTATTACTTTATAACTGTGACTTCAAATTTACATTATTTTAAGTACCATCATAACAGTTCCATGTATAATACAGATATCAGCCAAGAACCCATCAGGAAATTAAAAAACCCACTATATATATATAAAAAAATGCTGGAAAGACAAGAACACAGGACAGGGACTTGATACAGACTTAATTTAGTTTTATAATCAACCACATTTTGCCCCAAATTAACAGATATGTAGCAATATTCAAGAGCAGTGCAAATATCTTTGTAGATTAGAGTAAAATTATACTACAAGAACATAAGACGTAAAATAAAAAGACAAGTACTTCAAGTACAAGGAACAAGTCTTAATGAGGTCTCTCAGTGTTAATGTTCTTTAATTCTTAATTCCAATTTACTTCTTCCTCTGGAATACATTAGCCAGCATGGCACCTGAAGTGGTTAACTGGCCCATTTTATTCAGAAACTTGGTCTTGGTATCTTCACTCACAAGGCTTGCTGCAATTGACATAGAACTAGGGAGAAAGAAAAGTAAGTTGATTTATAACATAATCAATCACAACAATCTAAAATAGTTGGGCAGAAGAAGACCTCTTACATGAGACTTTGAAAAACTGTTCTTAAAGACAGCAGTATTAGGTTTAACAGCAGATCTGATTTAGAATAGAATAGAATAACAGAATTGGAAGGGACCTTGGAGGTCTTCTAGTCCAACCCCCTGCTCAAGCAGGAAACCCTATACTATTTCAGACAAATAATTGTCCAATCTCTTCTTAAAAACTTCCATTGTTGGAACATTCACAAATTCTGGAGGAAATTTATTCCACTGATTAATTGTTCTAACTGTCAGAAAATTTCTTCTAGGTTGCTTCTTTCCTTGATTAGTTTCCCTCCATTGCTTCTTGTCCTGTCTTCAGGTGCTTTGGAGAATCGCTTGACTCCCTCTTCTTTGTGGCAACCCCTGAGATATTGGAACACTGCTATCATGTCACCCCAGTCCGTCTTTTCATTAAATTAGATATGCTCATTATCTAATTTAGTATTAGATGGTTTATTTATCCCAAATAAGTTTTTTTAATTGTAATCAAAATAATTTGTCATTACAATAGAATGATAGTTTCCAAACTTGAAAGAATTTTTTTCCAAAATGCAAAATTCAGCTACCAATAAAGGCTATATGTTGCTTCAGTAGGAAATTCAAGCCCTCTGTGGAATTATACCATTGAATAACAAGATAGGATAAAATTCTGAAACTCAACCTGTTTTTAGTTAAAATTTATCCATAAAACTGCACTTCTGGCATGTAGTTGGATGTTAAGAATAAGATCTGAGAGGGAACGGGAATGACAGATTAATTCTCAAAACATTGTATCACCCAGACCACCCCAATGATACCCTTGAAGTGATGTCCCGGTGCCTGGAGGCCGTGCGGGTCTGGATGGGGAGAAACAGACTCCGACTCAATCTCTCCAAGACTGAGTGGCTGTGGCTCCCGGCGTCCCGATATAGCCAGATGGTGCCATCGCTGGCTATTGGGGGTGAGTCATTGGCCCCCACGGAGAGGGTTCGCAACTTGGGTGTCCTCCTGGACGTGCGGCTGTCTTTAGAAAGCATATGATGGCCGTGGCCAGGGGGGCTTTTTATCAGGTTCGCCTGATCCACCAGTTGCATCCCTTTCTGGATCGGGACTCCCTGCGCACGGTCACTCATGCCCTCGTCACTTCCTGACTGGACTACTGCAATGCTCTCTACATGAGGCTCCCCTTGAAGAGCATCTGGAGGCTCCAGCTGGTCCAAAATGTGGCCGCGCGGGTGATTATGGGAGCGGCGGGGTGCTCCCATGTAACACCTCTCCTGCGGGAGCTGCATTGGCTCCCAGTGGTCTTCCGGGTGCGATTCAAGGTGTTGATTAATATCTTTAAAGGGCTCCATGGCTTAGGACCTGGGTCCTTACAGGACCGCCTTCTGCTACCGACAGCCTCCCACTGGCCAATAAGCTCCCACAGGGCGGGGCTCCTCGGGGTGCTGTCGGTCAGACAATGTCGACTGGTGACCCCCCGGGGAAGAGCCTTCTCAGTAGGGGCTCCTGCCCTCTGGAACGAGCTGCCCCCGGAGGTACGGAGGATCTCAGACTTGCGCACCTTCCGCCGTGCCCTGAAGACTTTGTTATTCCAGCAAACCGGGCTAGCCTAATTTTAACGGTTTTAAATTGGATTTTAATGGGATGTTCTTAATTGTGGGCCA